TTAAAGCAGTAGGTCTTCCTGTTGACTTGCCCTTACAAATTGTACAAATAGGCTTAAAGAACTGTAACCTGAGGGGTTATTACTTTATTTATCTATCTACAGTTATGACCAGTATCATAACGATATTAACTTGCAAAGAGTTTACCGTTTACTTCTCGAAAGGAAGTTATACTTATCACTTACACTTTAATAGGTACGTGGGAACTTAGGTATGTTGTACTTTCAGAGAATGAATTTTAGACACTTACCGTACGTCGCTCTCGTAGAGTATAATCCAGATGTTAGTTGTACAGGGTGTTCCATTGTCACTCGATGGACACTTAATTTGGAAGAACAAGAAAACACAAAACTTCGAGGAAGGTTTTTAATAACAATAGAACAAAACAAACAAAATAACGAATACAAAACAGATTCGGACAAACATTTTTAATTAATTTACACGTAACAACGCACGTAACAAATTTGAAAAGACTTTATCCATTATTAAATTAGCCCGAGACTTTAAAATTAAGAAAACTGCCCAGTGTGGAACCCAAGGAGAAACTGCCTTTTTTCGGAGATATCTCCTGAATTCGACACCACTGTTCGACACGTGCATTTCTTAGGTACAGAAGTTTCGGTTCTTATCTTATTGGTGCGCTCCCTGAATAACGGGGGTTGAAATGGCTTAACTATAATACCTAATACCCATAACTTAATACCTAATTGACAGAATTTACAATTGTATGGATAATTTTGAGACTAAACTGAACTTATAAGCAACCCTACACCTTCCTCTTGTGACTCCTTATAGCAACACAGGAGGGATTAGTCAGTCCCATTTAATCTATTCTTATAGCTTGGAAAATCCGCCTAAAAACCAGCTATTTGATCTATTATTATTTTCCTTATAACATTCTAACTTATTTAAACAACTTGGAATTCATATATCTTTTCGAATGTATTTCGCGCGTTATTAGAAATATCGATTTTTCCCTTTACCATGGGCTAAACCGACGCAGTTAGTCGATACCAGATGCCCAACACATGACCCGACGATCTAAGTCAACTTGTTCAAAATCATTGCTAAATTTCATGAGGCCTTCTCCGAAGGACTGCCATGCTCGAGCATTGCAAATTTATTACTCCCGGTGACAAGAGGCACCAGTTTCTCAACGACTTTATGACGACGCTAAACCTACTTGAAAACCCTTAACTTTTCAATAATTATTGTTGACTGAGTTGATCCATCCGTTCCGAGAACTAACAAATAATCGCCTCTGGATTGACATTTCACCTAGTTGCTAATTTTTGAAACACGAACTTAAAAAAAAAACAATTTTACTGAGAGTGGACATTTATGAAAGCACTGTATTTACAACTACTACAATTTTGTTTTATTAACTAATAATATAATTTTGTTCTATTAATATTTATCAATTCCATTTACAAGAAAACCAATTATATTTTATTTTGTATCAACATCGCGAACATCGTATCATTTTGTGTCAATGAACATCATTTGACGTCTCTGTTAGGATAATTCTAAATTACGCAAGGGCGAGGCAACAACCTCGCTCTGGTCCTATAACAAGGCCCAATTTGGGGGGTCCGCTTCATTTAAACACATAAATTCATTTATTTTATCGCAATGTGCGGATTTGCATTAAAGAATAACCAGCGCCACGCCTTATAAGTAGCTTTAACGCTGACGGGATCCGAAAGATATCGATTTACAAGATAATTTACAACAATAAGTGCGTTTTATGTGCGAGCTAAATTTTGTGCACTTACGCCTTTCATAACTAAAAGCCCGGGGTAGTTCACCCAGAATCCTTGTCGATATTTACATAAAATCGTCGTTTTATCGTCGGTAACTCGCGATTTTGCCGCTAATTGGTATGCAAATTGGATCGAGAAGAGAACGCGAAATTATAATGACGGAGTCGTTAAATAATAAAACCAATATGATTCCATAAAGTAGCGGTATTGAGACAGTTCGATAAACACTTCGCAATCGACAAATATTATTTTAAAACGAGTTGAAGTTGGAGAATGTTAAAATTTATCTATTTAAGTAAGATTCCAAGTTAAATAAAAGATCTATTTATAACCAGAATAGTTTAATATAGGTAAAGCGATGTTATTGCGGGAAATAACGACACCCAGAATATTTAATAAAAACTAGTACCATTAGTCAGCAGAACCACCTGGTTCTGAACTTTAATTCTCATCTGTATGCTGTAAGGTTAGTTTACCGACGAACGATCCAACTATTTTTGATGTTTTAACTACAGGCATGGGCATTCACAGATGCAGTCCTTTATTAATTTATATCTCACCCATACTTAGGTACTCCATTTGACGACTGGTCCATGGCAGTGCTTATTTTTTTATAGAATTATATACAATTTTTATTTAGGCACAATTACTGCCCTGAGTTCCATTCCAGATATTTTTATTTCAATAAGTAGCTTCGTTATGAACGGTCATTACATGCATTTTTTTCTAAATTGCATACAATACACATGTACGCAGTACACATGTTAGCTTGTTAGACATGTGAAGAGAAAGCAAGTAATTTTTATTTGATTGGTACTTCATTTTAATTTGATAGCGGAGAATTAATTCTATTTGGTAGTTGAGATGTACTGCACGCCGTTCTTTATTTGTTAGTTCTTTCATTGCTAATTGCAATTTCATGGATAACGACAAATTGTAGCGATCTATCCGCACAGACATAACTGTGATAGATAGAAGATGGAAAATCGCTCGGTTTGCACAGGTATTTTCGCAATGTGGATAGAGCGATTTTAACTACACAGTCAAATAATTACGTATCTTAAGAGTTTAGACCAAACTGTGCAGATTTAACTGACACATATGCAAAATTGCTTGACTTGCATGAAAATGTATGCATTATGGAACAAATCATAATGATTTTTTATCGCATATATATCTATGATGTAGGTATCTCACTATTGAACTGCTTAAATAAAACTGTGCAGATTTAACTGACGCGTGGATGGAAAGGCACTAGACATATTTATGCACTGTTTTAAGTAGCCATATTTTGCCATTTGTCAGTTCAGGTTAAACTGTGCCCATATATCCGAAGAATCCACAGTTAAATTGGAGAGATTTATTTGCGTAGAACAAATTATAGAGATTTATTTGACGTGGCTGGACAAACGGTTATGCCAGTTGCATTTGTAATGATAAGGCGATTTAACTGTGCAGTTAAATATCATTACGATATATTCCATGATAGATCGCACAAATGAAACTGTTTAGATTTATTTGACGTGTGGATTAAGACGGTCTTTTCATCTTCTGATAAATTTATTCCCTTGTTAAATCTATGTCTGTCTCACAAAACACATATCTATGAAAATGACCGATATATATTTAACTGACAGTTAAATTTTCCGACAGTTGAAAAAACCGGTTCTTAATTGGGGCAGGTATTTGTGCAGTGTGTATAAAATAAATCGTAACTAATTTTAACCGAACAGTTAAATCCATGCGATTTATCTGCACAAATTAAACTGTGCAGATTTATCTGAGATGCAGGTAGTAGCGTTTTTTAAGCAAGTTAAATAGCTACAATTACAACGTTTACTTCTATTTTTCTTGTAAAAAATTGGAAGCTATGTATTTTATTTTCAATTTCATTAAATCCCATGCATCAAGTAAAGCTTCTGGTAGTTGTTATAGTAAAATATGCAGCTAGGAGAATCGGATAGCTACTCGAGTATGGCATTGAAGTATGTACTTCCTCTTTTATCTATTTCGCTATTGTTTTAAATTGGCTGTAGTCGCTACTTATTTTTTCCGATTATTGTCGCAAAGGCTGTGCTTCCTCATTACTTACCCTTCTAATTGATGCGGGATTGTTTCTGCGACTTTGAGTAATTAAGCGAAAGGATATTGCGGACGCATTTAGCAAGTGGGATGATTGGATCTCCAGCTCTGTGCGTTTTAATTGACATCTGATAAGCAGTGCGCCCACATCTGCAATTTTGATGGGAGATGCATCCTTTGTTTAAAGTGACTGTTGAAGAATTACAAAGAAAAAAAAATAGATGGAGTGTGGCTGCACGGATTGAATTGTCACTCCCAAATTAGATTCTCAAAATAAAATTGATTTCGAATATACAGTGTGTTACATCGAAACGTGAACACTTGTAACTTTATATAGAGTGAGTTTCTAAAAAAATTGTGGTCAATTTTAATTTGAATAATGCACTTTATAATGAAAAGATAGGTAAAATAGTTCATTTCAAAGATTCCATTATTGTCTATGCCATTACGTTATAAAAATTATTGATTTGTGGGTAAGATATAACCTCTAAAGTATATGTCACATCTCAAATGCCACTGCTACCCAATAGCTACTTGCATAAAGCATTATTTTGTACAAAGAGTTAATTTATACCTTCTGGCAAAAGTGAGCTACTAATTTGTAGCTCCTCTGAAAGCATGTCTTGTATTCGTACTTGGGAGAATAAACTTTTAAACTGTTTAACTTTATTATTTTTTTTTATTTGGCATAGTGCGAAAACAAATCTACTTTCATATTGCCCACAGTGTAGCAGGTCACTCTTTGTCAGTAGCTACAAAGTAATGGCTTATACCAGTAGGTGTTGAATGGTAATGGCGTTAAAAATGTAACATTTACTTTCTAGGTTTTATCTCGCCCACACTTAGCTGCTTTCCACAATATCAATAGTTAAAAACTATTGATTTATTGTTGTGACAATGAAATTACAAATATAAGTCTTCAATTAGACAAATAAAATTAGTTGTTCAAAATAATTTCTACCAACATTCGAATAGTATTTTTGAATAGTACTACCAACTGTTTATTCATCTCCAAACGCTCTAATAATGCAATTTTTTATTTATGAAACATTTTTAGTATATTCTCTATTTATTTTTAAGTGATAACGCTTACTTGAAGAAATAATTCGTTAATTTAACTTGACAGATTAATATTCATTGTTGTTTTTTTTTTTCAGGACGAATGTCGGACCGACATCAACAGGTGGATCGGGGCCCCTCGACCAGGAGTCCCGATGTCACCAACTGCCCCAGAGGTAAGAATATCTTTTTAATTTTTCCGAATAATAACATAGATACCAAAAAAAATCAATCAAAATTCAATATTGTGCCCAGAAGAACGAAAGTTAATGCTGGTTTCTCGCAACCGAAACGTCGCAAGAAAATCTAAATATACAGTGAAATACCTCGAGAAAGCTTGCTGTGAAAGAGTGTTTTCAGAATTTAAAAATTCCTCTAAATCAGTAAAAAGTTACAAACGATTTTCGAAAACGTTACATTTACTATTTTTCAAAATAAATCAAAAAACCTGAGGAGCTAGGACCTGTCTACCGGCGCCATTAAGTTAGCAACAGAACTGTCAAACTTTCCTCAAGTAACGATTTTCCTATCTCTTATACAGGGTGTATCTAAATAACATCGAAAAAATTAATAGAGGTCTTTGGTATAAAATTTTTTAAAAAACTCTCCCCTGAAAAGTTACGCCCCTCCAAATATTAAAAAAAGTAATATTTTCTACACAAAATCATAAAACTTGTGAAAGAGTAAGAAACAGTAACAATAAATGACATTGACATTTGTTTCTATGGCTCATCTTTTTAAAAATGCATTGCAATACATTTTGTTTATCATACATCATTGCATTGACAATATTTTAACTAATATTGATCAATATCGGGTAAATGTTTTAGATTCACATATTTCAGATCACAGGGCGCAAAAAATTTGTTTTGAAATTAAAAATTATAACTCCCACAACAGTAAAATATACAAAAGATTTTATACTCAAAAAAATAAAGAAAATTTTCTAGTACAATTGAGATGCCAAACTTGGGATGATGTTTTTGGGTGTAATGATGAAGATGTAAATAAACAGTGGAATTATTTTATTGGTACATATTTAAATATTTTTAAAGAATGTTTTCCAAAAAGATTAACAAGTATAGTACCTAGCAAAAAACACAAAACGATTGAAAATCAACTACTAACAGAGAGTAAAAATAGATTAGATATATTATTAGTATTAAGTAGAAATAGTAATATTTTTAAGGAGATGTATAAAGATGAGAAAAAGAGACATAATAATATCTTGATTGAAAGTAGGAAAATGGAATATGAAAATAGGATTCTAAAGTCAGATAATAAAAACAAGTGCATGTGGGCTATACATGATGAAATAACTGGTAAAAAATATAAATATAATAATTTCCCGAAAAAACAGAATTTACTAGATGTTGCTAATGATTATAATAAATACTTAAATGATGTAATTCCAAATTTGTTTAGAAATGAAAAAATGATTCCATTTCAATGTGATATACCTGATAATAATAAATCGATGTATTTAAAATCACTAACACCTACTGATATTGTAAAAATATCTGAAATGATAAAAAATAAATATAGTAGTGGAGATGATGAAATTCCAGCTGCAATAATCAAAATGTGTATATGTGAGATAAACACTGTAATTTGCCATATACTGAATAATTCATTTAAATACGGAATATTTCCAGAGCAGTTAAAACTTGCAGTCATAAAACCCTTATATAAAAAGGGAGATACAGATTTATTTGAAAATTATAGACCTCTTAGTCTCTTACCTAGTTTCTCAAAAATTTTTGAAACGGCAATGTGTATTCAGTTAGTTGAATTTATGAATGCTGATAATTTGTTCCATAATACCCAACATGGATATATTAAGGGAAGATCGACACAAACAGCTATCTTTCAATTTACTAATAAAATATTGGAACATGCAGAAAATAAAAAAATTGCTTTGGGAATGTTCTTGGATTTATCCAAAGCCTATGATTGCTTATATCACCCATATCTATTATATAAGTTAAAAACATATGGAATTAGGGGTAATGCACTTAAGTGGGTAGAATGTTATCTTGGTAATCGTCGTCAGCGAGTAGCCATTGGATCGAATGCAGAATTTGTAAAATCTGAAATACTGGACACTAATATTGGTATACCGCAGGGTAGTGTTATTGGACCAATTTTATTTATTATATATATTAATGATTTATGTGATGTTTCTATAAATTCCAATCAAAGTATAACCAATTATGCAGATGATAATAACATACTTGTGGGGGCAGATACTTATCCTGAATTAATAGAGGAGGGAAATAATTTATTTTCAGCCACAAGAGAGTGGTATAAAAAAAACAGATTTATTTTAAATAAAGATAAAACTAAAATAATACTTTTCAGAACAAAACAAGCTAAAATTGACACACCTCGAAATGTAGATATTGCAGATGAATCAATGGCTTTCATTGATTATACTAAGTTTCTTGGGATTTTAATAGATGAACATCTAACATGGGGAAATCAAATAGAGTATTTATGTGTAAAACTTAATAAAATTTGTTATGGTTTTAGAATAACAAGTAGATATTTGAATATAAAAAGTTTAAGAATATTGTATTTCTCAAATTTTGAATCGTGTTGCAAGTATGGAATAATATTTTGGGGGGGTAACTCAAGTATTGAAAAAATTTTTGTGTTACAAAAAAGAGTTATCAGAATCATATATAAAATAGCATATAATGAATCATGTAGGAATAAGTTTAAACAAAATAATATTTTGACAATATATGGACTATATATTTATGAATGTCTTTTGTATACATTTAAGAATAAAACTAGTTTTACAATTAATAATTCCAATCATAGGTATGATACAAGAACTATAAATATTACATATCCAAAACATAACTTGTCGTTGACAGAAAAAAAATACCTTTTATGTATGTATAAAGTTTTTTAATAAATTACCTTTGCATCTTAAGACTTTAACAAGCATAAATAGAATCAAAAAACACATTAAATTAATGTTGACTAAATTGGAGCCATATAATTTGAAAGAATATTTAGAGGCACGAGACTTGTAATGTTAGCAGTTGACGAAATTGTAAAGAGTGTATATGCAGGTGTTAAGTAACATTTGAATGTGTATACTGTGCAATTTGTGACGTCGTTTCATTTATGTGTCTTTCTTGCATTTTTGTGCTTGTTTTACATGTATAGTGTGTAGGGGCATATCTTTGAAAAAAAAAAAAAATTATAGTTAATTTTAAATCATATTAGAGAAAAAGTCAACTCTAAATTGGTTTCATATACTAAATATAGAGTCAAAACTCACTTAATTGATAGTTAGCAGTAACTCGGATTTGAGTAAAACTCACTCATTTCTGATGCAATAGTTTCACTCAGTTGTACTCATACTAATAGAGTGAAAATTTCACTCAATCGGGTGTGGACAGAAATTGATTGAGTAAAATTGTGTGAAACTTGAGTAAAATTTTTTTACAGTGTACTTTTGAAAGTGTTCTTAATGACATTTATAGTTTTTTCATTTGCAAGTTCAATTGCAGTCGCAAATTTTGATTTTTCTAGCGTTTAATTCAGAAACTTATTAATGCGGAGATAAACTAGTCACAAAAGTTAAAGAATTTAAAAAAATCTAAATATTTAGGTGATTTTATGCTGTAAGTTGGGGAAGTATGGTCGTAGAGCAATAAAAGAAAAGTAAATTGAAACTTGAAGTTTTTTATTTCAGGATCTGAAATTCAANCATCCTTAACTTTTCGAAAAAACTTGAAGAGGTCAAAAAGTTTGTAAATGAAGGGGGCTTTTTAGACATATTTTTTAAAATGAAAAAATTTTATAGCAAAAAAATTATAAGAAAAAATGTCAGGGGTTGATTATTTCAATCCCTTACTAAAATAGTTCAGTGTTGAAAAAATTTCAAAAAGTGTAGAATTTTTGACAGATAATGATCACCAAAACTGGTTTCTTAACTTGATATACATAGAAGGGAAAAGAGAAGCAATTTTTTTAATTTTTGGAGGGCCGTAACTTTCAGGGGCGAGTTTTTTCAAATAATTTTTCACCAAGAGCCTTATTAATTTTCATCAGTGAATCGCCTCTTAATTTTTTTCAGTGTTATTTAGATACACCCTGTAGTTTCCAAGATACCAATACATGCATCACCAAAATGCTCCACGCTGTTCGTGTATATTACAATTTTCCGCGTGATAATTAAAAGTTGTCGACATTTTATAACGGAAACGGCCTCAAACTAAATTAAATCATTCGTATTCAAGGCAAGTAACGACGTTCAAAACCCAGATCTAGATCCCGAGTGATAACAAAATATTTTATTCACAAAATTGCGGTCTATCGTAAATGCTACGCGCGATAATATATCCGATAATTAATGACACCCAGCCGACGTTTATTACAAAACTTAGAACCTTATTTCTTTTTGTTAATGCCAAACCGGTAATTAATCTTTTTTTTAACGGATGCTTAAATAGTTTAACTATTAATTAATGCGGCGAGGCGTATTTCGTCGACGTATATTAAAGAATATACGGGGCGTTATGCATATTTATAAATATTTCGAATACGCCCAACGCCAGACATAAAGCTGAAACCTACTGAGCGTGGTGAGATTTATGGCCGATATAATTAAACGCTTTTACTTTAAACATACAAATTTTATGGATACAATTTGATGGTATTTAATGATATCATAAAACATAAGCAGTATAATTTAAAATGGTCCTAATAAATAATTAAGAATGATACAATAATGTGTAGTGAAAATCATTGGCGGTTTTACCATAAGAGCTGCGGAGCTGCAGAACACATAAAATTTTATGTATTTAATCATATTAAATATCAACAAAATATTTAAAGAATCCAAATGTACTCGCGCTAAAATAAATCTAGGAGCTTAAATTATTTATTGCGACGCGAGCTACGCTCCTTAATATATGCAACCTCATATACACAATGTGTGGACAGCGAACAATTATATGCGTCCTTTGTTTTTATTGGCTGATCAGGCACGTGACCCAGTACACGGAGATAGGGGCTTTTGCGGCTGCAATAGT